TATATATATATACACTACCTGCATGTACATACGTATAGCTACAAGAGCGAGATTGCGTTTATTTGGATTAGTCGTTGCTGTCAAGTGTTTCTCCATTTTTTTTTTTTTTTTTTTCGTTCCGATAACGATGGAAATTTCACCTGTAAGGGTTAAGGAAGAACAAACGTGCCTACACTTTTTCATATCGCGTATGTATGGAGCGCGGTCTAATTTATTGTTTGCTCAAAGAGCGTAAGTTGCTGCATGTACGATTATTCTCTAAAATAACCACCATATATATGCGTACGCGGGTAAATATTGTGTTGCACGCCAAGAATGTCTGCCGTGTGACGTGGACCTGCATTGGCCCGAGCGCCTGAATGCCTACACGTCGCGTTATTGCCGGTATTTAGAACAACGAGCCCATACGATTCACGTACGTGTACGCGTATAATATATGTATGCAACAGTATCGATCTCCATTATACGTGGTCCTGACGCAACGCGGGTGTCTCGGGAATTGTCGTAATTTGCAAATCAAACTGTGCGATAAAAGGTACCGATACAGGCTAAACTCTGTTATTTACACTCCTTAGGGGAGGTAATGAGAGAGGCAGGGAAAAAAAACGGAATTTCAAAATTAAACCCATATGGGCTTAGTATCAACGACTCCTTCGAGTATAGTGTGATTACATACCTCCTGCAACAATATCGTTATCTCAAAGCTGAAACAGCTACGTGTGTGTAACACCAATAGCCGCAGCATCGGGGGGGTCTCAATTTCCGACTTATTTTTCTTTCGCAACACCCTACACTTCTTATGCACACCATTTTCCAAAGTCTATAATGACAGGTATTAAACTATACACCTAACGAGAGCTACGCACACACACACACACACATACATATACACTTGACGTCACTCATCAACAAACCTTGCGCAACGACAAACGAACGCGACAGTTAAGCTCGTTACAAAAGCCCACCGAGTTACACGCGCAATTGGAGGGGGCTATTTAGGCATTATTTGCGCGTGTTTCAATTAGTACGCTCCTCCTTGTCCGCGCGCCGTAAGTACGTTCGTTCATTACGGGCACACGTGCACTCCCGTCTCCTTCGAGAAGTGTAGAAATCAACAAACAGATGTGGGAATACATTTTAAATTAAAAAAAAAAAAAAAAAGAGAGATCCTTGTGCGCGTCGTAAAACTCGGAAACGACGGCGATCAACGATTACGATCATGGCCCAACTGCACGCGACAAACGGACGTGAATTAAGACTATATACATGTCTCTCTCTGTCTCGGTGATGCCGCATAAATGATTCGTCGCCGAGTCGCGCTTTTATCGCCACGAGGAGAGAGTTGGCGTAAAGCGAGGACCGACTGACGCTGCACGCGCGCCCTCGAAGGCGCACTTTATGACGTCGCGCTTTTACGTCAGCTAGACTCCTATACGCCCTGAAGGATCGTTCCTTCTTATCCGTGCACTTTTACCCTTCCTCTTCTCCTTTCCTCATATTCTTTTTTTTTTTTTTTTTTTTTCAATAGACAAAAAAGTCCTCCGCCCCCCTCGAGTACAAACTGTCATGTGTACATGTTCAACCCGCATATACAGCGGATCATGTGTAAACTGGTGGTCGTTCCTTTTAAACGTACAAATGCATGCATGTACGAGTGTGTATATATATATATATATATAAAAGCTTTCGCAATCGGCCTCACGTTATGCAGGAGAAATTTTCGAAACGCAGCGCACGGCCTGTGCGGACGTATACCTATACGCGGTACGTTTTGTATTTTTGCAGCTGTTTGGTACTTTTCTGCACCATAGCACACTTGCCCGAACCGCGTTAATACCAGCGGTGCTTTAAACAAATTGCCCTTGTCGGATCTCCGCGCGTTGGCGCCCGACATGCCGCCACCGCACTACTGCGACAGCGATTTATATATACACGCCCGGCCCGTGTACTTATGTGCGCGCAACAGCGACGATAATTCAATACTCAAGTCCGTGTATGTATACGCTTGTGTGCTCTGTGTGAGTATGACCGCGAGTCCGCGAGAGATAGATCGGGAGGAGGAGGACTAACGCCCGTTGCCGTCGTCTTTGCAGTCGTTGAATCGCGAGCGCTGAGTTTTCCACGTCGCTACCACCATAAATTAATGCCACACATATTTATATACGTGCAGTTACGCCACTGTGTAATGTACATATACATCTATACCTATTCGCGATTTCCTTCCGAGTGGGCGAATCTTAATTTTGTCCTTTGTCTGTATTGAAAATACATTTTTTTTACTTTCATCAAATCCGTATTGGTTGGTTGTTAGGAGAGTTGTGTCGCGTGCGACTCTACTATATATACTATTGACGGGGTGTACAAAAAAAAAATAAATAAATAAAAAAACAGAATTTTGTATCCCCTGCAGCTTTTAGGTGCTGGTAAGCGCACCGATGGTGATGCAGGCATGCAACGACAACATCGGCCGTTAAAATGCACCCCAGCGTTTTTTTTTTCCTCTCTCTGCCCACAGTAATAAAACAACCAGGGACCTATACGGGTATGTACATGTACACACAATACCCGCATCTCTCGTTAAAATCACGTTCGACCGACGTTATTTTATTTTTTTTATTCCCTCCCTTCCCGGCACGTCCGAATCCCTCTTTCCAATTAAAACTCTCCTGCCCTGCACTGGTGCAGTATATGTATACCAACCGGTGTCTAGTACAGCGTAATGCAACGAATCGGCGGACGAAAAAAAAGAAATGACCCGCGCGCGAGATTCCGCACTAATAACCCAGTTTCCAGTGGGTATGGGAAAAAAAAAAGAAAAGAAACGGACGGTCCATCCGTGTCGAAAATAATAACGAGTTACCGATAGCACACGTGTGCGAACCTATACAGAAACCATCGCAACGGGATGTGGGCTGATGTAAATACATATATACCCACACGTGCACGCGTACAACAGCACGAATACACGCAATGAGATGAAAAAAAAAAAAAAAAAAAAAAAATTACAGGACGAGTGGCGGTGAATAGGTATAGTAGTTCGTTGGGCGTGACGAGAGGAACCGGCCTAGAAATCGATCCATCCGGAGAGAGCGTAATGTTTATATCTATACGGCGTATCCGAGTATCGATTATTGCGGGAGGCCCCCATCGATTGTTCTCTCCCTCTTTTGACTCTGCTACTGCTGGCATACTTGTCTTTTCTCCATACAACGATACCCGTACATGTATACGTATACCGTATACCTTCAATTGGACAAACGCGCTCAAGCTCGAGCCCGCGAGGCTCATTAAAAAGGATCACAGAAGAGAAGCCCAGCTCGTTAACTCGCGCGAGTATCGTTCGATTCTACATAGGTACGTATTATTTTGGCATGTGTGTGTGCACGGGTGCGCGGACAATACCTATATATACGCGTCCAATACCCAAGTGTACAGGCACACCTATACCCCAATATTACTAAACGGGAGGAAGAGAGGCGAATGAAAGTGCGCGCCAGACTGTGTGTACATTATGTGTACGTGTACACGGCGAATATGAGGAGAATTGCCATTATCCATCTCTTCCTCGTTCAGCTTCTCTATATATAATACCTACTCTTCCACTTGTTAATTCATCGCTGATAAGCTGCTACTGCTCCTCTATACCCTCTCTCTCTCTCTCTCTCTTTCTCGATGATTAAAAAGTTTGCGTTATTCATATATCTCTCCCTCTCTCTGTTTTTGTGCAAAACTTTCACGGGACGTATAAGCAACGTTTGTACTTGAATATAACGACACGTGTATATTCTATACTTCAAATGCACGCGTGCGTGTATGTCCGTATATTGCAAAACGATCGTCGTGTGTGTGTATACACGAGTACGTATGGGCATGGCTCGATCGAAGGCCCGTTTTACGACGCCTCCGGGAGGCGTTATTGGTTGTGTTATCATTATTATAATGGGGCGTGTTTTCGGCAATAAAACCACCGTAATGGTCGCTCGTACAACACCACGTAATTCATCCGATGGATTTTCTTTTGTTAAATTGAAATATTTGCACTGCGGTGTACAACAACGGCTGCTCGGACAATCGTTATGTGTCCCGCGTTTACGTGTGTATATATATATATATATATATCGTTGGCGAAATCGCTTCTCGTGTATAAACGTGGGTGTTTTCAAACGATGGGCTCGTAAAAAACGGGCATGTGGAGCCACAAAAGCACTTTTCCCGTACGAGTTTTTTTTTTATTTTATATATTTTCCTGTCGCTCGCGTTGACGCAAACGCAAATTATTTGCATCTCCGTATACGGTACTATACGAGAAATACTTATGTTTTGAATATTTGAGTGCTATTTATAGATCAACGACTTGTCCGGCACACGGACGTGGCGAGTTGACGTTATCGATAGTACGTGTACGCGCGTCCAAGGTATATAGCTGGAAAACCTGTTGCTGCAAATTATAGTTCATTAAGAGATTTTCACAATCATAATCTCAATATTACTATTATTATTAATATTATTATTATTATTATTATTATTATTATATCAAGGTATAATTCAAGTATTAATGGAGCAGTAAGAAAAAAATCCGGCCCCGAGCCTGCAGTGGACACTAACTAATTATAAAACACGTGTTTCGAGTCTGTGTGCCGTATCCCAATTAAAATAACAGTTTCTCGCCGTTCAACTCGCCGATCCTTTTTTTTCTCTCTCGTTTTCGTTTGTGCTGAATATAGCATTATTCACAACTTTTGTTTTACCCCATAGCTCTCGTCTCGCTGTATCGTTGACTTATTCGCTGGTAGGTATTTAAACACCGAAAGGAGAAAATCAGAAAACTAGATGCTTACCGACGCCCTCCACTGCATCAGGAATGCGTATTAACATTACTTGCAATTAATCAGCATACGTGTATATATTCAAAAGTTCAACCCACCGATACATAAAAGAATACATGTAATATCGAAGAAATGTCAATTACGTGGTTTGAAAGTGAATGTATTTGTTTTCAGAATCGAGCAGTGGTGCATCATCCGTCGTCAGCGTGGTTAGGATGCGCCAAGGGGCGGCGGGGGCGGTGTCCAGCCTCGGCTGGGCGCTGCTGGTCCCGCTGCTGCTGCTGTCGCGCTTCGGCCCGACCTATAGCTCCTCCTCATCCCCCGCGTCCCCGTCGTCGAGCGCCGTGGTCGGCCAGTTCCACGATCCCGAGGTCGAGAAGCTCAACCACCTCGCCGTCGACAAGATAACGGGCCGCGTCTACGTTGGCGCCGTCAATCGGCTCTACCAGTTCTCCCCGGATCTCAGTCTCACGGCCAAGGAGATCACCGGGCCGCGCAAGGACTCGTCCGAGTGCTCGATGGGCGGCTGTCCGTCCGGCACCGTGCAGACCCTCTCGGCCAACGTCAACAAGGCACTCGTCATCGACTACACCACCGGGAGGCTCATATCCTGCGGCAGCCTCTTCCAGGTACAGTACTTGGACTTTTTTTCATAATCATCGATTGAGCTGCTTGGTTTGCATTATTACTAAAACTATACGAATATACAAAGTATATACACAACTTACCGGTATCGAAACAAGTATAGGCTCTTCTTGTTTCGGGTTTAGTAATTGTTACAAAAACTATACAATAATTGTTGCACGTGCCGACGCGCTGAGAAATGAATTCATGCAACGATACAGCTGTACACGGGTCCCGGTACAGTGTACAGTTTAACATCGGACGATCAGCTCACCCGGATTAATTTACCTCGATGATGATAACATAACACGAGTGTGCATATATATATCGAGTGCAACAATGCACGGGATATATGTATATGCTCGAACCACACACATACAGTTATTCCGGCGCTTCAATTAGCAAATGGGGGGGATTACGAATGCCCGCGCGCGCCCACTCGCGAAATTTTCGAGCCATTGTACACTCGATTCGTTCGAGCTGTAAGTACATATATTCCGGAAAATGACTCGCGGATCAACACTCGCCGAAATAATCATTGCCCGCCGCGAACATACTTTAATTTGATCGCTGATTATAACTATATCGACTGCAGATGCGATGAATCGATGATATCTGTCGTCGCGTTTGATTATTGTTCACTGGTGGGTTCTTATTGTACAAGATAACGAACAAAAAGCGTCAAAGGGGGAAAAAAGAACAACATAGTATTAATGAGCGGAGCCTATCCGGTAAAACATCACGTAACATCGTAAAGCACAGCGAGAAAGAAAGGGGCGCGTGACCGAGACGATTTCCAACAAAGATCCTCTCTCTCTCAGCTAACACTACCGGCTGGCGTGACGAGATCAAAAAAGGCCTCTCTTCCCTCGTATAATTTATAGTGGAATGCCTTGCTCGCGCACAATATGTTATGTACAGGCGCGAGAGGAGGCTGTATATATACACTCTGCCGGTGTAACCGTGAGGATGTGAAAGAGGCTCTCCCTCGTTTCACCTTCACCTTTTGCTCCGTACGTGCAGCGTCGAAATCCTCCTCTGCACCGGTGGCTCGAATCACGGCCCAGGCATTCCGGAGCCATATCACGAATACTCGGAGCAGTGAGAGGGACCTCAACGAAAACAAAAAAACAGAGAGAGAGAGAGAGAGAGAGAGAGAGAGAAGGAAGGAAAAAAAACAAAAGAGAAGAAGAGGCATAGTAGTAGTCGGAACCCGAATCCAGATAAGGAATTCCCATAAAGTCAAACGAACGCGAGCGTGACTCTCTCTGCTGCTCTTTTTTTTTCGTTCCTCTCTTTCTCGCCTATTATATGCACTTTCGTTTTCCCGAGCGACTACGGTCAGCCCTCCACGCGTATACAAGAGAGAGACTCGATGATTTTTTTTTTTTTTTTTTTATTTCCTCTCGTCCTCTTTTAACGACCCGTGCGTCCTATCTGATGTATGTATATGTACACTGACTACGGGCACACGGGGAAAATTATGTCGTATCCGACCGTAAGTATATATATGTACGTACGAAGCGCGAGCATAAATTATATCGACGCCTTCGCTCCTCTATTTTGCAATCAATCTTCTTTGCCTCGAGCGAGCGTCGACAAGTTCGACGCGTTTATTTGATCGTTTTGAAAAAAAAAAAAAAAAAAAGTAACGTATAGGTAGGCTAATCCACCACGTGCGCACAAATTAGCGTCGCCGCGTTGACGTTGGCCGTGCATAATGAGACGGAGAAAGTGATCGGTCACTCTTTCCCCCGCATACGCGTATTATCTTATCGGTGGCGGGCCTTCCCCTGTCGCACAATAAGGATATGGGAGTTTGTCCGGCACGGGATGCGGGCCTGCGAGAGATAATTTAACGAGAAACTGAAGAAAAAAAAAAAAAAAAAATAGTTTTGCTGAAAATTGCATAATGGTATATATAGGACGAGGTATAAAAAAAGTATCGTGTAATAATTTATTTTTCCAGGGCATGTGCTACGTCCGGGACCTGCACAACATATCCCAGGGAGTGACCGAGGTGAGGGAGTCGGTGGTGGCGAACAACGCGACAGCCTCGACGGTGGCGTTCATAGCCCCGGGGCCGCCCAACCCGCCCGTCAGCCAAGTGATGTACGTCGGGGTCTCGTACACGAGCAACTCGTTCTACCGGTCGGAGGTGCCGGCCGTGAGCTCGCGCTCCCTCGACAAGGACCGCATGCTCAACATTGCCGACTCGACCGTTACCACGGGCACCCGCATGTACGTGAACTCCCTGTCCCGCGAGCGCTACCCGATCAACTACATATACGGCTTCAGCAGCGAGGGCTTCAGTTACTTCCTCACCACCCAGCCGGTCAGCACGAACGTCAACAACTTCATATCGAAGCTCGTGCGCGTCTGCCAGGACGACCAGCACTTTTACTCATACACGGAGATACCGATCGAGTGCAACGGGAAAAACGGCAAGATCTACAATCTCGTGCAGGCGGCTTACATGGGCAAGGCCGGCTCGGTCCTCGCGGGCAACCTCGGCAACACGCCCCAGGACGACGTGCTGTTTGCCGTTTTCGCCGAGAGCGACGGACCCAACAGCAACAAACCCTCCAACAATCAATCGGCCCTCTGCGTCTACTCGCTCAAGAACATCAGGCGCAAGTTTATGAGCAACATACAGCACTGCTTCAGCGGCAACGGGGTGCGAGGCCTCGACTTCATCTCCCCGGGACACGACTGCGTCCAAACGGTGAGTGCTCCAAACGTTTTAACTATACATACAACAACAATAATGATGATGATGATTACGCAATGTAGTATATGCTGCGACAACTTTCATCTCGACATAAAATATAATTATAATGTAAGGGGGGGAGGCAGAGACGTGAGTGTATATATAATTATGATCTCAAACGTAAATAAATTATTTATACGCGCGTAAAGGCATACAATATATACGTGCACGCGCTCGTGCGGTTAACGATCGCTTCTCGGTTTGGCGTTTTATTATTCTCGCCGATGCCTCGTTATCGGGCCTGGGCCTTTTCTCATCGCTTAATTTGCGAATGAGGCGCGAAAGAAAAATACACGCTCTCGCTTACATAGTTGTAACATGTTTGACGTGTGTGGAAAAATTTTTTACTCACGCCTTTTGTGACTATATATAACTGCGCGTTTAAGAGCGTGTTTTTTTTTTTTATTTTTTTTTT